AAAATTTGACAATATGGGAATATGTCAAAGGAAGGCGCAGGTCAAGTTTTAAATTTGGTCATGGTTCGATGATTTTTTTGGCAGAGTTAGTGTTCCCTTTCACTTGAAAATAATATAGATACACTCTTAGGAATTAAGCAGTTTAAGTTTGAATCTGGTCATGCGGTTCAATGAAATTTTGGACAAACTTATCTTTCTTGAATGTTGGAAAAATTTTGAACTTTCAGTTTCAGCCACTCATACTTTTGTGGAAATGTATGTAGCCCATTATTTTGGCTACAAATACTGAAAATATGTTTTTTTTTCAAAAGGTTAAGACTGAATAATTTCAGTGCCTTGAACATTGTATGAAAATGGTTTGAAGTTAATACATTGAAAAGTTTTAAGGCTTTGAACTTAAAATTAAAAAAATAAATTTGTGCAACAAATTTGGAACTAAATATTAGAAACATTCTGAAATTTTGGGGCTGCATGCGGGGGCATCCGTGGCATGATGACACATTTCTCTAGGTTTAAAAGTTAACCCTTTCACCCCATGAGCATATTGTGAAAAAATGGCATTTTTCAATGAAAGCCCTCCTCTTTCAAGTTAAAATTTCCCCTGTTAACCATGGCAACGAGGGGACATTCTCAAAAATTGCCAAAAATCACTCATTTTGCCTCGATTTTTTCCATCAAAATTACTTCAAAGTGCTGCAACTTCTCAAGGGATTGAGATAGAGTCAAAGGCTTTTCAGCGTTGGTTACACCTTACCTTATGATCGACCTGGGGTCATTTAAAGCCTCTCACAAGTCCAAAAATTTTCTTTGCGATTGAGGGGGACTCCGCCCCTTCAAACCCCCAAAAAAGAAGGGGGCACATCCCCCTTCTGGCAACCCCCTGAAGTATCTTTTGGACAGGGGGCTGCGCCGAAAAAGTGCTCACTTTTTTTTAACAACATTTCTCAAACGAAAACATGTGTTTGGGGAAAAATAAGACATTTTCTCACTATTTCAGGCCTAAAAAGGGGGGGGGGGGTCGAAAGTGCGATGTTTCGCGTATATATGAGGTTAAGGGTTAAATAGCTTCTTTTTAAAAAGTTTTTGTTGTTTTTGTACATAATTTACTGTCAATATGAAACTTCAGCTGTATCTTAATTTCTATATGCTGTTTTATTATGTAAATCTTAGAAGATAAAGCATTTTAAGATAAAACAAATCACTAAGTTGATTAATTATATATAATTTGAGATTGACCAAGTCAATTTTAACATGTAACTTCTTATTTTATTTGCAGAAGCAGTAGAAGTATTCAAACACCATCATGACACACTTTAGACATACCAAGAGAGCTCTAGAAGAAGAACTAGTGGTAGATTGGAACAGATTGTAGCTTAATTGTTAAAGTAAAAGGACTTCTTAAATCGTTTGAAATTTTAGCTACACTTGAACTGTAGTTTTGAAATAAAATAGCTGAAGTATTTAATAGTGTCTTGATTTTTTTTTGTTAAACTCTGTTACGTACAGTACTTTGCTTTATATTTATATTAAAGTATGTTGAAATGACATTGAAACTTCAACGTTGTGCCAACGTTGAACTTCAACGTTTTTTTAAACTTTCAAATTCGAACATAAATCTAACGTTATTTCAACGTTGAAATCTGATCATACTTCAACGTTGTTCACCGGTTGATGTGCCTGCTGGGTTACTTCTATCAAGGACCTATTTGCGGTATTTTTAATATTATTCAAAATTCTATGAAAGTTTTGATGCTAAATGCATCAATCATGATTTTTTTTCAATCAATATCTAGGCTATAACCTGCATAGATATTGCCTGCACATAAAATATTGCGTGGGAGTTATCAACAATAAAAGTATGCGTGGGAGTTACCAAAATCATTTTTTTCTCTCGTGTAATGGAATAGAAAATGACCAGTCAACATTTAACATGCCTAATATTTACATTTTCAAATAAAGAAATTCTATGAACATTTTCTCTTCGCTAACTCGACGTAGTTTAATCAAATTCATAAAAAATACAAATTTTGTGTGAATGTTACCCGAAATATAATTGTTTACATTGAAAATTTCTGTTGAATTTTTGAGTGTTTGTAAAAGCTATGAGCACAGGGGTGGAAAATAAGGTATAGGCGGCAACAATTCTTTATTCTGCGTAGGCTGCAACAGGTCTCGTATGTAAGTAAAAGGGATATAATAAAGAATTACCTGAAAAACACATGTGAAGCGAGGTTTTTAGGCCGCCATATTGTCTGTACGCGTAACCGTAAAAGTCACGTGATTCCCTACCGTGCCATTCATAAAATTAATGATATACAATTCTGGTAAAAACCAATTAACCATTGAAAAGTTTATAAGAATATCTGTTCATCCGATGTTTACAAGTACATCTTCACTTGCTGCATTTCTTGCTTGAACGCCCTTTGATGCTTTGCATCAATGCTTTTCTTGTAAGAGAATTTAATGAAATATAGCCGAGAGAGTCATTATAGCGGCCAACGCTATCAAATATGTAAAATCTATGTTATTACGAACTGACAACGGCTAGTATATTTGCAACTGAAATCATATGTAAACCATGTTTATAAGTATTCTAATCTATTACATGCGTGAGCTTTTTGTAAATCACCCATCATATGTCTGAAAAAAAAAACAACAGTCAAATACAGTGTAAAACTGCTGAGAGTCAGTGTTCGTTAGTATATTCTAGCAAGTCTGTACGTTCGCATATTCTAGCAAGTGTGTATGATCGCATATTCTAGCAATTGTGTGCGTTCGAATATTCTAGCAATTATGTACGTTCGCATATTCTAGCGAGAGCGTACATTCGCATATTCTAGCAAGTGTGTATGTTCGCATATTCTAGCAAGTGTGTACGTTCCCTTATTCTAGCAATTGTGTACGTTCGCATATTCTAGCAAGTGTGTAAGTTCGCATATTCTAGCAAGTGTGTAAGTTCGCATATCCTAACAATTGTGTAGGTTCGCATATTCTAGCAAGAATGAACGTCCGAATATTCTAGCAAGTACGTTCGCATATTCTAGCAAGTGTGTACGTTCGCATATTTTAGCAAGTGTGTATGTTCGAATATTCTAGCAAGAGTGTACGTTCGCATATTCTACCAAGTGTGTACGTTCGCATATTCTAGCAAGAGTGTACGTTCGCATATTCTAGCAATTATGTACGTTCGCGTATTCTAGCAAGAGTGTATGTTCGCATATTCTAGCAATTATGTACGTTCGCATATTCTTGCAAGCGTGTACGTTCGCATATTCTACCAAGTGTGTACGTTCGCATATTCTAGCAAGAGTGTACGTTCGCAATATTCTAGCAATCGTGTACGTTCGCATATTCTAGCAAGCGTGTACGTTCGCATATTCTGCCAAGTGTGTACGTTCGCATATTCTAGCAAGAGTGTATGTTCGCATATTCTAGCAATTATGTACGTTCGCATATTCTTGCAAGCGTGTACGTTCGCATATTCTAGCAAGCGTGTACGTTCGCATATTCTACCAAGTGTGTACGTTCGCATATTCTAGCAAGAGTGTACGTTCGCATATTCTAGCAAGAGTGTATGTTCGCTTCTTTTCGTAGTGTGATCGCTTAAAATAGACATTTTTATACGTTTTTCTTCCTTTTCTTAAATACGTGAATTATACGTGTATTCCTTTAATTGCACATATACATATATTTAAATGTTGCAAAACTATGCGTTTTCCTCGTCAAAACTGTTTGTTAACATGAATTCAGAAAAAAAACATACCTGTATAGAATGCTAAGTTTGCTTGATCCGATTTTAGATCGACAAGTTGTATGACCACTTTAAGAGATAGAACTTTATCTGTGTGATGCATTTCAATGATAAACACCTCTTGACTCATTTACATCAAATAAACTTAAATAGTGTCACATACATTTAATGCCCGCAAATACTGAACTACTGTTTGATAGTTAAACATAATATATAAAAATTAATCAGAACAAAATTCATTGAAAACATTCATAATCTAACCTCCGAGTATCTTCAAAATGTGAAAATGTCTAAAACAATCGGTGTTAAATATTTTCGAGTTTTGTTATATTCAAAACAGTTTGTCAAAACTTTAAATATAAAAGAGAGTTTCACTTATTCTGATTCTTGCTTCTTGTAGCCTACATCTCCCTTAAGAAATGTTCATTTGGAAATTATTGCCATCCCCACCCATGACAATTTTTAAAACCTAACTTTTGTTTGTGGTTTAAAAGAACCTAACTTTATTATTTAAAAGCCATAATGACGGCTCCAATGATGTTGCAGTAGTATTTATTTTTTCAAGATAGTCAAAACAACGGTATGTTGCACTTGGTACTACCACCAGGTGGGATCAAACCGAACGTGCAACATTTTCAGTTTTGCCGTTGATTTTGGTGTTATAAAGTTTATTTTACTATTTACTGGAGAGGTCATCAGACCTCCCCACAGTGTTCAGACTGACGACAAACATTTTGCGTATCTGATTGTAATGAATGCGTGAAATCATTAGGAGCAGTCTAAAAAATGGTTTTGCGCATGCTCTGTTTCAAAATACGACTTAACTTAAACGAAAAATTAACATCGAAGTGAATAAATCGGTACATAGAAAAATCGGAAAATATCATTTACGTTACCTTAGCGCTACGTGGATGTTTGATTCCGTTTTAATGTTTTAAAATGTATAAATCTAGTACTTTATTGTTTCCTGAATAGCGTTTTAATATTTCATGTTCCGATAAATAATAACAGTGAACATTTTAGGTACCATGCACTATTATATGACCGAGTGAACCGTGTGCTCCTTAAACTTTTGAACCGTATGACTTAACAACGCAACGGAGATTTTTTGGCGCAAATGGCGCAAATTTTACTAAAGTTTGATTTTCGTCAAATATTGTGGTTGAAGGCATGCAGCTTTATATATTGTTTATTCTAATCAAATGATATAAATATTTTTTAATGTAAATCCTATTCTTAAAATTGTTGATTAACATACTTTATGCCCGTTTTGGAAAATGTAGGGAAAATGTTTCCATATACTTTCCAAAACATTAACCGAAAATTTGCTGACTGAATTTTACAAGAAACGTTTTGTTAATACTTTTATTATATGTATCATTTATTTTAAATCTAGTTCTCTTTGTAGAGAAACGTTCCCTAATGCGCCAAGAAAAATGTTCATTTCTCCGGCATAAAATCTTTCAAAATATTTCAAAAATGAAGAGTAAAACAAACTTTCATTATGATACGTACTATATTCAATATATATAATAAATTCTATTTTGTTAAATAATTGTAATTAATAATTACTCATTGTCTATTTTATGCAAGAGTATCCCCAAATATTTTCGAATTAAACAAATCTCCCACAGCAGCAAAAAGACCTATCGCATGCTTCTTTTTAAAGAAGCAAACTTGTTTCTATCTATTGCGGTACTACTTCATAGTAATCCACAGTACTCTTCACGAAAAGTTAGCCCTTTTTAAAATAATATGCATTTAGGGTCACCTTGGTCTCCGCGAAATGTCACTAAAGATCTGATACATTTATTTACCTACAGTCGTGATTTTTTTACTATATACGATGAGTACATTGTATATCAAAACTATATGTACAGTAACTTTGTATCTTATTTCTCATAGTGGCTTTTTATGTACTTCATTTTCAGCCAATTAAAAAAATATACATGTATCCTACCATAGTAAAGCATTTATTTTTCAGTTTCGGACGCTGCAGTTTCTGCTGTTGAATAATATTCAGGGTGATGTTTTAGCTGGGTTTTTATAGATTTATAATTATCGCCTTCTTCTTTCATCAAAGAAGAATGGTCTTCAGTGGGCACATTTGCAATCAATGTTTAAAATATTGATTAAAGCAATAGAAATGTGTCATTTGGATATTCTCACAAAATATTTCTTGCACAAAAAGAATATGATTTAATTCCAAGTTATTTAGTATAAACATTTATATGGTAAATAATAATATTTTGTTCTGGCAATTTTTATTTGCAATATATAAACCATCATGTATCCCACACTTGCCAACAAGATGTATAAACTAGTAATTTCTTTGGCAGTTTGTTGTCACGTATGACACTAGATACTAACATAATTATTGATGTTATTTCATACGGACCCAAATTATATGGGCCAACTCACACTCCCCTTCTTAAATAATGCCACAATCATTAAAATAATAAGCACACCAAGAACCATTTCATAGATTTCTTCTCCCTTTTGGTACAATCGTAAAGCCCATTGCGGATCATTTTCGATTTCACCACAGCAACCAGTCTGTCTATTGCACGGACAATCTGGACATATCTCGAATGTTTCACATTCAACACACTGATCACTCCCACAACAAGCACATGGTCTGAAAATCAGCGTGTGACAACAACATGTGAAGTCGTAATAGTAGACACAGCAATCCTTGCAAACATAATAGCAACATGGCTTATACTTTTGCTTGCACGAAGACACCCGGTAGTTATTTTTAATGGACTTGATTTCTCCCCAAATAAATACTTTGATAACAATGATATAATCAAAGTCACATTTCGCACTGAAAACGACCAACATTATAATTTGAGGTAGGTCGTCAAAGAATAACCCTAACAATGTTTCAATCCAACCGTGTATGAATTGAAAACCTCTGCAACCTGCTTCGGTCTCACTCGGATTCTGCTTTTGGTATTCCAGGATTGTTTCCCCGATCATATTTACTATTTTTAATATAGCATATATTGTACCTATGCCAGCGATGATACCATAGTAGGTAGATAGGTGGCTCGATCCTACGCTGCAATTGGACGTAAATCGTGATAATTTTGATTTCCTTTCAAAAACATTCATCCAATCTGGGAGATCGAAATGGCCAACCCAGGCGGCATATTGCGACCAATTTAAGCACAGGTCAAAAAGAATGAAAAGCGTTGATATTATCCGCTTGAAAATTATGCATACAATAGATGGCGTGTAAGTTCTCAAGTCGTCTACTGAAAATATAGAAATACATGTCGTATATTAGTATATATATCTCTATAATACATGTCGTACATTGGTATATATCTCTATAATATATGTCGTATATTGTTATATATCTCTACAATACATGTCGTATATTGGTGTATATCTCTATTATACATGTCGTATATTGATATATATCTCTATTACACATGTCGTACATTGGTATATATCTCTATAATATATGTCGTATATTGTTATATATCTCTACAATACATGTCGTATATTGGTGTATATCTCTATGATATATGTCGTATATTGTTATATATCTCTAAAATACATGTCGTATATTGGTATATATCTCTATAATTCATGTCGTATATTGGTATATATCTCTATTACACATGTCGTATATTGGTATATATCTCTATTACACATGTCGTATATTGGTATATATCTCTATAATATATGTCGTATATTGGTATTTATCTCTACAATACATGTCGTATATTGGTATATATCTCTATTACACATGTCGTACATTGGTATATATCTCTATAATACATGTCGTACATTGGTATATATCTCTATAATATATGTCGTATATTGGTATATATCTCTATTACACATGTCGTATATTGGTATATATCTCTATAATATATGTCGTATATTGGTATATATCTCTATAATATATGTCGTATATTGGTATATATCTCTATAATATATGTCGTATATTGGTATATATCTCTATTACACATGTCGTATATTGGTATATATCTCTATTACACATGTCGTATATTGGTATATATCTCTATTACACATGTCGTATATTGGTATATATCTCTATTACACATGTCGTATATTGATATATATCTCTATAATACATGTCGAACATTGGTGTATATCTCTATAATACATGTCGTATATTGGTATATATCTCTATTACACATGTCGTATATTGGTATTTATCTCTATTATACATGTCGTATATTGGTATATATCTCTATAATACATGTCGTATATTGGTATTTATGTCTATAATACATGTCGAACATTGGTGTATATCTCTATTATACATGTCGTATATTGGTATTTATCTCTATAATACATGTTGTATATTGGTATTTATCTCTTTAATACATGTCGTATATTGGTATTTATGTCTATAATACATGTCGAACATTGGTGTATATCTCTATTATACATGTCGTATATTGGTATTTATCTCTATAATACATGTTGTATATTGGTATTTATCTCTATTATACATGTCGTATATTGGTATATATCTCTATTACACATGTCGTATATTGGTATATATCTCTATATAATACATGTTTTATATTGGTATATATCTCTATAATACATGTCGTATATTTGTGTTTATCTCTATAATATATGTCGTATATTGGTATATATCTCTATAATACATGTCGTATATTGGTATTTATCTCTTTAATACATGTCGTATATTGGTATATATCTCTATAATACATGTCGTATATTGGTATTTATCTCTTTAATACATGTCGTATATTGGTATTTATGTCTATAATACATGTCAAACATTGGTGTATATCTCTATAAAACATGTCGTATATTGGTATTTATCTCTATTATACATGTCGTATATTGGTATATATCTCTATAATACTGTTGTATATTGGTATTTATCTCTACAATACATGTCGTATATTGGTATATATCTCTATAATACATGTCGTATATTGGTATTTATCTCTATATAATACATGTCGTATATTGGTATTTATCTCTAAAATACATGTCGTATATTGGTACATATCTCTATTATACATGTCGTATATTGGTATTTATCTCTATAAAACTGCATGCATAGCATAATTATTATGACATGATTTCATGATATCGCACTAAATATGTTATACGACCATATGGCTATAGAAAGGTGAACGCAATTCCCTTTGTCGTCCGTCCGTCTTCTGTTATACAATGTCGTATCCCTGTGGAACCCCTTAAAGCAATAACTGGATTATATGTATAGGTAAGTGTTCATTATCAGATCGATCTTGGCCAGTTTAATTTTGAAAATACTTACATACTAATTTAGTATTTAGAAATCAATTTAAAAACTAATAACGGACATGGAATAACCAAAACTCACGTATACTTTTCAGAATATTGCTAAAGCAACTTTTTCGTGTATGTACGTATGCAGAGGCCATTGGCTTTATTAAACCCCGATCCCACAGCTTAAATGCGTCTAGAATCAGATGTTAACGCGTTAGTAAACGTTTTGGAGTATTGTATAGGTCAGATGTGTAGGTGTGTAGGTGCAAATAACAAAATGTTCGTTCAATAGTAAAGGTGGAATACTGCCATATGACATTCACATGGTTGACTTAACTTAGAATTCAATAAAATCATTAATTCTAAAACTGTTTGAACTAATATTTTTATAGGGATAAACTTTAATTACTTTGTTTATTATTACTACGTTTACCTGTTTGAGGCGGTAAAGGTGACGAGGCATCTCTCACCATGTATTGGTTGCCTGGGGGAAGAACTTGCACACTGTAAGACGGTTGTGCGTACTGAACGTTCTGTGCATTCACAGGTGGTAGATATCCTTGAATCGGTATTGCATACTGTACATTTTGTGGACCCATTGGATATGGTTGACCCATTGGTTGCATTTCAAATGAAGTTTGACTCCCTGAAGGGTGTACATTTCCATGGAATTCACCTTGTAATTGGGCCTGATATGCTTGTCGAGCAGAGATACGCTGTTCAGCGGGTTCTCCTTGATACCCTGTAAATAGTTTACACAGTATGTAAAGACATCTATTTGAAATGGAATTTTATTGAATCTGAAAATAAATGAGAAATTGATAATTTTACTTCAAAAAGAAGAAGAATAAGAAGAAAGTAAAAGGAAGAATCTGTACTCTATCTGTACTCTCGTTATTTAAATGATGTCTGTCTGGAAACAAACCTGTGATTCAATATATCTTCCGTTGATTCTAATTTTAAGCGTTTGCCTTTTGGGTTAAGAAATACTTGAAACCAAGACCTACAAACATTGCACTTAAAATTTACTCTTGTTGTTGTAACTGCGCATTGATATGCAATACAGACATATTGTAACAAACAAACGAACAAACAAAAAAGGAAAATGGAAAGAAAAAAAACAAAGAAAAAAACAAAGAAAACAGTAAATAAATTAACAAGAAAGAATGGAAGAAAGAAAGGAAAAAAGGAATAAATCAAAGAAAGTAGTTCACAACTTCAGAACATTATTTGCACTTTATCAATAGATTTCTTAATAAATATTTGAAGTTTGACGTCTACATTTTTAAAAGTGCTATATTGACAGCCACGTACATGTGTTTTGAATTTGACAATTGTCAATAATATTTAGATTGTTTTAATAGTCGTCTGAAGACAGTAAAATAATGATTGTACTGACAATAATTGATTTTAACAGGGGAATGATATGATAGTTTTAATGTATTTTTGGGTCTTAACCTGATGGTTTTATCAAAGGATATTAAACGAGAACATCCCATATTATCAACAACATGATAATTTTATTACTTCCTTATTGATTATGGCTGTGATTTCTACGTAAAAACTTACTTCTACGAAAGGACCCAGTTATACGAAAATGTCAAAATCTACTTAAAGAAAGATTATCAATGTAGCTAAAGATAAATCGTACATAAAATTATAATGATAATATATCAAGTATCCAGGTCTTAAGTTAATATCAGAGTTGTTATACATGTATATCACGTCACTTACATGACAGTAGATAATGTTACACGATTTTATGAACTTACGGCGTTAGTATTTCTACAATCTCAATATGAATTGAAACAGCATTGTAGGAGCACATTTGTCTCGGAGCACATTTGTCTCACGAAGTGTGACCGATGTGCTCGTAAACATTCATATTTGCGACAAATTGGATATGAGACAGATGTGTCCGACACACAATAGAAAGGACACTCGAAGCACATTTGTCTCACATTTTTCCATAAAATTCTTAAAAGGTAACAATTATGCCCATACCGGCTACCAGCCATTGTTCTGTGTTTTCTGTATTTATAATACCGTTTTAGGTCACTTCCGGTCAGTCAAAACTTCCTGCCTCTGCATAGGAGTCATATATTTAATTAAAGCATATCCCTGTTCTGCATGTCACAATGAAAATTTCTACAAGTGCAGCACACATATGCAGCAAGTCTTTTCTTATCGTTATTAATTGTGATACGTTTATTTTCAATGCTTAAAGTTTTATAAATGATTAATGGCACTAGAAATATTATTAGCAAAAACAAGGTAGTATCTACGGTGGTATAAAGGGGACATAGAATTTTCTTATTTATTACGTGCGCACACGATAGCTTTTACGTGGCCACGCGATACTATTACATGCGCACGCGATAGCTATTACGTTCGAAAGGGATAGTTATTGCGTGCGCACGCGATAACTATTACGTGCGCACGCGGATAGGTATTCCGCATTTGGACCCTGACCGGGTTCCTCGCATGAATAGTTCGACGCCCTATGTGTCGAACCTACACCGGTTAGGGGCAAGTGGTTTTTGAAATCAGTCGGCCACGGAGGCTCTTAAATGATCTATGGAAGAAAATTAGAAGACCATTACACATGTATTTTTTTTCATCAGAAATATATGTATAAAACAATCGTCATTTTCCAAGAATTGCGGCTTTCAGATCCGCCATTGAAAAAGCATTTACAACATGCACGAGTTCCTAAAATAATCCGGGATAATTATTATGAAATATCGGGCGACTCAGAATCGGGCGAGACGCAACATTCCGATGAGACATGAAGCGAAGCACGATATTGTAACACGAGATCTCGCAATGTCGAAGTATCCCGTACCACGAGATTTCAGAAATGAATAATAATAATAATAATAATATCTTTATTTAAAGAAGGTTACACATTAAGAACATACAATAGCAATCATATATATCTTATTTCCAATGTGGCCTTCTGAAATAGAAAACAACAACAACAACAACAGGACATGCATAGGTAGCAAAATGAATGTATAATATGTAATTTTTAGCATAAAACAACTCAAATACTTTCGACAGACACTCAACAATTTGTTTAAACATATACGTATATTGCATCATTTGTTCGTTCGTTCATTCGTTTGTACATTTATTCATTCATTCATTCACTCATTCATATGAACATCAACATTTGAGGTTATTAACATTACGAATATTTAAAGGTATATTGTTCCAAATGTTCATGCCATAATAAGAAAATGTGTCTTTAATATAATTTGTTTTAGGTCTTGTCCATAATACAATATCTTTTCGTGACCTAGATCTTAAGTTATATATTTTGTTGTCGGATTAAGTCATCAGTTCTGTCATACAAGTCGGTGCCATGTTATTTAAAGTTTTAAAAACAAGCACTGCCGTGTGGTATTTACATCTGTCAGGGAACGGTAACCAGTTAAGAGCTTCGAATAGCTTCATTGACGGAGAAATTTGTGGTTGCTGTAAAATCATTTTAGCAATTCGTTTTTGTAATTTACAAACATTATTTATGTAGTTTGTGTTTCCTTTACCCCATATAATACAACAATAGTCCATAATAGGCAATATATATGCATTGTCAAACAATAATTTCATATCAAAGTGCAAAAAAAATGATATTTTTTTAATAAGGCAATTTTTCCGTTAAGTTTTTTACAAACATTGTCAATTTGCAAGTGCCATTTTAAGTTGTTATTTATGCAAATACCCAGGACTTTTTGATCAGTTACATTTTCAAGAACTATTTCATTTATCTTAAGATACAATTTTCTCGTAATATTTACTTTTTGTCTTGTTCCTATTACCATACATTTCGATTTATCTGGATTTAAGGCCATATTATTTATTTTATTTTGCACCATTTCTCAATGTTATTTAAATGATCTTGAAGTTTTACTTCTACTTTTGATATATTTTCTCCGGACTCATAAAGAGTAGAATCGTCTGCGTATAAATCAATTTTTATATCATTACCAATGAAAGCTATGTCATTTATGTATATTAGAATTATTAGAATAAATTTCCTCTTCTTTAGATATGGTAAGTGTGAATTTATTAATATTCAAATAATGATTTCTGAGGAAGTTAGATGCTTGTAACTTTTTGGAGCTATAACAGTATACCAAAATAACTACAAATAAAAGCATTTCTCAGGCATAATGGACCTTTAAGTGATTTTACAGCAACAAATGTGACGCTAGAATTTTTTCTTAGAATAAACATGACCCCTACTTTTCTCATCATTTTAAATCAGTTTTATCAGTTTGATCATAAACTCTTTAAAATGAGATAGGTATTTGTTCTCTAAAACGGGTCTAGCTATGTTTTGTAGCTCTTTGAAAAATTTCAGTTTTAGGTAGACTATAAAGGGAATACTATTTAGCGGTAAATGACCTGGAATGAATTTCTTGTCTCGCGTCGACGAACGAGATGCGAAGAGAGACACGAGATTTCGGCGAGTTGCAAAACAAGTCACGATATTGTATCATTCAATATCAACCGATTACGGTGTTCCATTTGGATATAAGTAACATTTTTGTCTCCTTGAACAACTATGCACGATAGTACGATGATTCAGACGATGATTAACACACGATGACATGATGGTGAAATTACGATGATGCGATGACACGATAGAGAAAATAATATCGCGTTTTCATCATCATGCCATCGTAGTTTAATCATATCGTACCATCGTATTTTCACCATCGACATTTTCCCCTAAGACATTAACAATCTAATTTTGCAATGGCGGTCATTTTATTTCCTTATAGATTTATTTATTCCGCAGGCTGCCGACCACGGAGGGCACACTATTAAAGGACTTACAGAATAATAGTGCCGACGCCTTCTTATTTCTTTAACTTGGTACTACATTTATTAATAATTATGTAAAACTATCACTGGCGAAATATATGATCAAAATTCCAAATCTCAATATTCTTAAAGTTAAATCTAAAAAGACTTAGCAAAAAGTGGATACATGATACCTTTGTATATAAGACCATAATTATGTTGTTTTTTTCGGTGGCGAAGGTAAACATACATGACTCTTTCAGTTAAGGCATTTTAAGTAATTTTAACAAGAAATAAACAAGTGTTACATTTACTACAGGAAAACCTGCAAAAATGTACAAATTATCAACAATCAAGTTTTTAATCTTTAAGACATGAATAAATAGTTTTATTTTGATAGATACCCCGTGCATTTGCACAAACATAAAGGAACATACAAAGATGGCATGCTGCTTTGTCTTTTTAACTTGGTCAAATATACTGATGAATTACTTGTCTGTTTTCCAATGTTTCAAAAGCAAAGTGCGAAACTTAAAACTGTGAACTGCTCTTCAAGTTTGCTATGATCAAAATACGATATAGAATATTAATTGAAACAGCGAAATATCGACATCTCGAAAAACAAAAGCTCTTTTTACAGTTTTGCTCGATGATCAATGCATGGTTAAATAAATACCTCTAGCTTGTGTGCTTAGCTTAATAGGGAGATCATCTGATTTATAATTCAGTGGTCACTGGTTGGATCCTCGGGCGAGACGAATATTCTCTGTGACCAGTGATTTCGAACATCCAGTCTAATGGTAATTTGTTCTGTCGCTGCTAATTCAGATATCACGTCGGTAAATAGTCGGTCACTTGCGGAGAAATAGGTAATTATGGTAATAGTTATCCAGGACAGCCATTTAGGTGAACCGCCCGTCGACAAATGGCCACAAAATATGTTAACATTGCCTAAAACTCAGACAGACACAACAAACAAACATAAATTTACATTTGAAAAAAACACTACAAAATATAGACTTGGGTAAACATAATGTAGACTTGGGTAAAACAAAATATAGACTTGGTTAAAAAATAGTGTTACCTCTGTTATCATAAGTTGCATTGCTATTGTTTCTTCCATGTGCAGCATTTCTACTATTTCCATCACTATGAGAATCTCTCTTCTCCATCTTAATGCATGTAATGACGATCAAGATAGATATAAAAGTTTATTATGTAAGGTATTACTTAATCTTTCTAGATCGCATTGATAAAAATCATTGACTTTTGTTAGATGCAGTGCAGTCTCTTCAAGTTGAAACAAAGCAAACAGAGTGTATCAAGTATTTGTGCAAAGTCTAACGTAGTTTATATAATCTATCGCTGTTAATTATTGTTTTGTGGTAGGAGTGGGTTATTTTTCACATTAATAGCTTAGTCAAGCATCATAGAAAACTTTCCATAGAAAACTTTCAGAAACTTTAATGGCGAGTTGTTTCCCTTATTGATAGTATGAAAGTTTTCTCCCTTAAAGAAGTTATCGGGGTATCTTATTCGGATGTTTCGAGCTAACATGGTATAGCAAATTTTAAAACAAGAAACTTGTTCGACATACATTTGTCAGAATAAGAATGACAATTTGACAGTCTATTTATATTCAATTTCTTTAGTATATAGTTCCCATTTTGTCAATTGCATTAACGGGGTAAAAAAAAAAGAATGGATGCATGCAATTCAACATGCATTTACATGGTTGAACATCTTGAAATGGAGAAAGGTTTAAGCTGCTTTTTTTTCTCATATCCGCATGTACAATTTGAATTGCCTGTGCAGAGTACTTTACACGTTTCAAAACATGTATATTCAATGTCGTAGCCGGAAAAGAAGTTTGGTCAAAATCCACAGTAGAACTGTTGTTTAACGACAGCGACACTGCAATCACCAAAGTTCACCTCACAGAAAGGTTTTTAATGTCACTAAAAACTTGTAACACTGTCTGAAATATGAGTTCTTTATTGATAAAACAAACATACATCAACATACTTCCAGTTTTTATTGTATTATTATGGAAATTTAGAAAGAGCTCAGATAATCAAGTGCAGTAATAAATCGACTAAAGCTCGCCTAAGGGACATAATATATTACACACTGGAGTAACTTTTTATATTCTCTATTACATCTTGTAACAGGATGCTGATAAAAAAGTAGGCACAGCGAAATCAACAGAGTACTGTAAGAGCACATTTGTCTCGGAACACATTTGTCTTACGTAAGACCGATGCGGTCGCATTTGTCCCACATGAGACAAATAGGACCTCAAATGTCTACCCAAAAGAATTAATTTGTGTGACAAAAGTGCTCCGATCAAGTTTTTTAAGGGACAAGAAAACACATTTGTCTCATGTTTTTTTTAAGGGACGAGAAAACATATTTGTCTCATGTCATTTTCTCTGAATAATTTGTCGGCAACATTTCTTTTTAGAATCGATGATCGCCCTTTTTTTGTCATGTCAAGTATAATCATCAATAGGTGTGCTACTGCTTTTTTTTACCAAATCTTAAACTTAAAACCTTTTAATTCTAAGATACCTAATTCAAGAAATTTGATTGTCTGAACCTGATGGCGAACACTGAAACATACGGAATCCCGTTCACGATTTACAATTGTGAAAGCGCGAGGGCACGAAGGTACGATATTGAAAACGCGATTTTACTATTGTATAAACGTGAAACTACTATTGTATGATGGTACAACGATGGTACGATTGTGAAACAACGAAGGCACGATGATGAAAACGTGATTGTACGATGGTGAAAACAAGATGCTAGGATGGTGAAAATACGATGGTACGTTGATGAAACTGCGATGTCATGATGATGAAAACGCAATATTATTTTCACCATCGTGTCATCGCATCATCATTATTTTACCATCGTGCCATCGCTGTTATATCATCGTGACGTTGTATTTTCATCAGAGTACCATCGTACCATCGCGCTTTAACCATGGTACTATCGTGCGTAGCGGTTTAGGGATGGACAAAATATATAACTTATATCCAAACGGTACACATTGGGTTACATTTGAACGATCTGCGGATGTTTTTAAATTCAATTTCACCATTTTCATGTTAAAATGTTGAATTCTGCTTATGTCGGTGCTATAGGGGCGCGGACGGTAGTTTGCATTTGACAGTACCATCCATGATCATTGACATTTTTCAAAGAGCTACACAACATAGCTAAACCCATTTTAGAGAACAAATCCTTATGCTTGTATTATGCAGGTATTTTAGGGGTACATGGATGCAAAATGCAAAATCCTGCACCTGCTAAATTCATTATAACTTATGCTTCTTTTTTTTGGCCGAAGGCCGTCTTATTTCACCTTGACTTCCGCTAAAATTAACAGTAAAGAAATGAATATAGGCAGAATTTGCATTGGTCATTTTAACGCTAATAGCCTGTTCGATTGATACTTTAGAAGAGCTTCCGGTAGAGTTCTTTCAAACTGTTTGATTGCTCGATGACAAGAAGTGTCGGAAGAAGATATAAGTCAGAATAAATATAAAATCACAATAATGATATTTTCTAGATGTTTCTAACAGCTTTTCAATAAATATATGTACATGTATATGAAATCAAATATGACAGATCGCCTTTTTGATACTTTTGCGTTCGATTGGATTTCTCTCCTAAGCTGTTCTAGTCATAATATTCTCTTCTCGAACCGGGCATAAGAATAAGACAATTGAAACAAACTTTTGACTCATAACAGTTGCAAAAATTTCCGTGGAATTATCTACTAAATGTTTTATTATAAATTCCTATTCAAATCAAATTCCATTTTGATTAAAATGAAATAATGTAAGTACTGTAATGTTGTTTAAATCTAAGATGACAATTAATGGGGGAAAACTTTGTGGGCAAAAATGAACTGAAATAAAACTATTGAGGACGAATAAAATGTTCTGTTAACAGTTCCTCCCCCGTGCTTATCAGGCTTTCAAATCTCTTTATTACTATTTCAACAGTTGTTTTTAAGAAGATTTAGATTTCACGGGGGAGGAACTGTTACACGAAGGATGGAGTTCTTATGATAACTTGTTTGGAGTTCTTATGATAAATGTCACGGAGTTCCTGGAAAACGTTACGGATTTATGTGGAAAACTTTTGCTATAAACTTGGAGAACTCAAGTGAAAAATGGCTATTTTTACCTTTAAATGGGAAGTTTGAGGTGCCAATATTAAACATTGATAATAAAGCTTGCCCTACATAAAAAATATTGTTTTATGTTTCAGAAAAACCTTTTAATCCATTTTTCATCGCCTTTTTTTTTAAAAAAAATCTTGTAACGTTAGTTTTGAGTAAAATTTCTAAATTAGTTGCTCATTTATACATTTTGACAGTTTCATTTGTAAGCATCTTCGTTGCTATACTTAATTACCTCATTATTATGGAGAGTTGCAAACATAAAGCCCAGGCTTATAAATTTATACCCGATTTTTCAAATGTCGATAACTCAAAATATGTCCTGGAGTTCTTATGCTAACAGTATGTGTGTTTTTTTGTGCTTAATTCATCTTGCTTTTAATAACAATCACTATTAATGGCTTTGATAAGCCATTCGGCATTGGGCGGGGAAGTGATATGTAATTGAATTCATTTCACATGTCATAATTTTTAGCTTTTGCAGAAAAATCCTGTATTCCGTTTCTAATAGTTTGGTGCTGTTGAAACTGCCTGCAAAATTCGCAGAAAAGTAGTCCAGAGGGGTGGCCCTCAGAATCTATAATCACAACAAAATTACATAAAAATTGCAGACTGGGTTTGATTGTACAGGAGGGATACTGAAATGAAATATCCCCCACGCCCCTAGTTTCGGTGAGCTTAAAAGTGTTGGAATCAATGAGGGCTTATAAATAAATTATTAGTTATTTCATTTTAAGACCGGTTGAAATTCAAGTGGTTTAATAAACTTAATACAAGACATATCACAGAGGTGTGTATATTGACATTGTTAGAAATTAACAATACATTTCAGTCGTTTAAATGTATGTTACTTATATATAGCAGTGACATGTATAGCAAAACAATAGTATGAATGCTTTAAAACATAATGATAAAAGCAAATTCCATTGCCAGTATAACATGATTCTTTATCTTGAAGAAAATAATCCAATGAAAATTGTATCCTGTATATTAAATAATTTCCAATTGCTACTTAGCATTTTAAATGAATAACACCTAGACCAAAAAGTGTCAATGAGACTGACATAAATATGCCCTTGTTGGCAAATACTATTAAGAGGATATTTTTTCGTTTGAGTGAAATATTTTCAGGAGATATGATAAAATTCCATATAGTTTCACGAGCCGTAACCATCGAGTAAAAACAATAAAACTCGTTCACAAAAACCATCGTATGCAATAATATTTTGATTTTTCATCGGTAAGTCAATTTAAAGTCGTCATCTTATATTGTGTTGAGAAAACATAACAAAATTATTATTTTAATTTCTTATAATGAAATGAATAACTGAAGCTATTGCCTGTCAGAGAAAAAAAACATCTGAAAGTACTGGCATGCGAGCAGTTCCCGTACAAAAATCGTAGTTACTTAAACATTATTTTTTATTACGCTCACTCACCAAAATTTGAACGTTACACATCAATATTCGGCTCGTCACAGAAATCATGGAAATTCCATCATGTTCTAAACATAGAATAACCCTTAGTTATGAGGCCTCATATGGGGTACCGAAATTATCCATTATTTTGTATGAAGAGAAGTAGTTCCCGTACATAAAATTTAACCCATTATAATTATACAATTTTATTATATCGGACCTATTTTTCATTTATAATTGTTGAACAGACCATTTTCTAAGAGATAAATAGATGTAATTCCGGAAATAGAAAGTAGACTAAACGCGTGTATCTATTACCCGGTACCGTTACCCCCAACGCATTCACATGCGATGGCATGCTTGTATGCATGATATTTTACGCATCAAAGCCATAAAATTATTTTATATAGTAATATTGGTCAAAATTCTGATAATTAAACAAGTTTTCATCACATTGCCTTCTTATCTGTAAACAGGTGGTATAAGTGGAAAACCCTTTAACATGCCTCACGTGTAAGTATGTTTGCGCATGCGCGCAAGAACGGAATCCCCCGGATAAAACAAGGTCACGTTTTGACAACGCACAGGTGAAAGTGATTTAAAATGAGACTTTTTATACGTACTGCCGAACTGACATTTAGATTTTGTCTCGTTTATGTATCTGCTTGATTTGAAATGAAT